CTTAGTGTATTTCCTCCTTTTGGCTGTGGTCACTCCCCTGCTCTCTGTTCACTGGCATAAGAAGGACCATGTCATGCTTTCCTTGCCAGACACATGAGAGCAGGAAGAGGGTGGGAGAAGAGCAAGGGAGATCTTTACCGTTTTTAAATTGTGTGGTGTGTGTTGGATGTTAGAATGTAGAAAAATGGATCTGCTCATCAATGAACAGATATGAAGATACGAGAAGAAATTGCTTATTTCATCATTCTGGCAGGTGATAAGCCTGCAGCCATTTATCAAATGTCCACTAGAAATAAATGTCTGTTGTCATTTTCTCACTTTTAATAACATTATACCTCTCTGTAATTTTAGCTGTTCATCTCAACTGCTACCTTTTTTTCTTTTTTTTTTTTCTTTTTGAAAGAGTGAGCGTAGAAGAGAAAGAATAATTTAATGAGGCTTCCCCCTTTCTTTGGCAAGCCAGAAAAATGATTGTAAAGAACACTAAATTAATTATTTGGATTCATAAAAACAGAAGCAGCCCACTTGCTTAAATTAGAATAAACAGCAAGCAGTCTCACTTGGATTTTCAGTGGCTTTGAATTTGAGTTTGCTTTTACAGCAACACCAGCAGCATTCTCCCAGCTTGCTAACCCAAAGCCTGTACTACATATTTCTATCACCCTCTGGGAGACTTCTTGTCCCTCCTGTGTGTACCAGGTAGAGAGGTGAGGGCCTTATTACCTTATCAGCAGTAAACCTTTTTTATAACTCTAGAAAGCATGAGCTGAAATCTTCAGCCCTTCAGCAAGCATGGCTGGTAGGCAAACCTACTGGAAGCTTTACTTAAGTGGAGGAAGGTTTTTACACAATTTGGTATGAGAGTGAATAATAGTATCTCTTCATTAGCACCTGCTCTATCCCAATAGCAAACTAACATTATTCTAGACTACTCCCACACTTTCAGCTTTCAATATGACTGTGCCTAATTATACTGCATGGGTTATCAGCAGCAGAACTGGAGCTTTTGGTAGTCGAGTTTGGGATAATTGGAGTTTGAGGTTTCTGGAAAGACGTGGCAGAAGGTTTGAGGTAGGAAGACAGCTACCTGCTACAAGTACACAGGTTTATCTGCCTGCAGGCTTATCTGGATGACCAGAAAAGAGATGGTAAGTGGTTCAGCTGCAACACTAAGGTGCATGGGGTGGCCTTTTCCTGTCAGAGCTGTAAGTTTCTCTCAAGGTTGCGTATGGACTGAGGGGGTGGCTGTATCTTTTTACATTCACATTCATGTTTTGACATTTTCTCAATTCTTCTCTTTCTCCCAAGGAGGCTTAGACACTCAGAGCCTGGCCCATAGTGAGGAAAGGAGGCACTAAGCCAAAAATGTTACATTACAGCTTTTTAAAATACACACCATGTTTCTTACATTTGCATGGAAGATAGGTGAGAATCATATATATGTGATCCTGCACAATAGATTATCTCTAGACTGGGGTAAATTCATATTATTCCTAATGTGACAGACTTCTCTGGAGGGGGGGAAATCACTACAGGCTGCATTGGTTTGGGGTGGACTCTGCGGGGACACATCTGTCACCCTACTGTCTTAAAGCCCTGGCTATAACCATCCTACTCCTGCACAAGAACCTCTTCTAGCTGGGCTATTCTCCCTTCTCCCGTAGATACTCTACTCCCAGCCAAGCAGTGGCACAGTTCTCTGTCTTGTAGCCCTGCAACAGATATTTTCCTGTAAGAGGGGACCTGCAGGCTGGAGTTCTCCCACGCAGGGACAGGCCTCAAGCTCTGCTCTTGCCTGCCTGAGTGCTCTCTCTTCTCACCAGCTGGCCTGGAAAGGGCAGCCTCCCTTCCCTGCCATGGTTTGAAAAGAAAGCAGCCTCATGACGTATTGCTTGGGCATACCTACAAGATCTGGGTGGAGTTTTGCCACCTTCTGGTCTCTGTCTGGATTACAGATATTTTTTTACAGGAGGAGGTGCTGGGCTTCTCCATAGTAGGAGCCTCCATCCCTGTACCGGTGCATGTGTTTAAGTACCCAGTAAAGGCTGCAATTCAAAGCAGAGGCACTGATTTATTTTAGGGCCCCCAAGGCTAGGCAGAGCAGAGAATTAAAGCATCTGAATACTTGTCAAGCCTTACAGGCCTATGTTCCCGTGTGGTCACAATTTCAGTGGAATTTGGTTACTGTGCTCTCACCGGGAAGCATCTAGTCGGGCTGAATTATTGCGTGTCATTGGCAGAAAACAGGACAAACCCAATTTTCCCAGTGCCTGGGGATCCTTGCAGTAACAGGGAACTGCTGAGGTGGGATACATCTGGATCATCCCAGCAAAGAGTCCAATGCTTTTTTTTTTTTTTTTTTGCATAGGAAGTAACATAGGTAAAAATCAAATTCTCTGACAATCGCAAATCTGCCTACACAAATCCAGCATTCACTGGGGATATCAGCACATGAACAACATATACCAGATAAGCATTTAAAAAGGAGGGCCTTCTACAGCACCTTTTTAAATGGCCCCATCTCCTCCTACTTGCCTTCTCCAGATCTGGCTTTGGAATTATTTACAACGTGTTGTGAACTTGTAGTCATCTCTGAGATGAGAAATTATTTTGGCTCTAAAAAGAAGGTGAAATTCCATCACTTTTTGTGATGCAAATATTTTGAAATAGGGAAGAAATTCCTTCTTAGCCTTTCAAAGCAGATCATGAGATGTAATTACAATAATTTTACTGCACAGCTACAAATACAAGCATGTGGAAGGTGTGTGGGCAGTCCTGCATGGCTAACAAGGGATGGAGGATTTGTAGATCCTCAACTTTCAAACGCTGGATCAGCTCCAGCCCTGAAGATGGCAGCAACAACTGTCAGATATGCGACAAAAAAGATTGCATCCCATCGTTACCTTTCTACTGACAGTCGTCCACCATTTTTTTCTCAGAAGGTTATCGACTGTTAAATTACCCCACACCCCAAGTTAGGAAATTCTGTCCTGTTCTTCATCTGAATCTGCCTGAAACCATCTCTCAGGCACTGAATTTTCCTTCTCCTTTTGTCAGTAGTACAAGAAATTCACCCTGGTTTTAGATTTCTGTATGCAAGTATCTATACTCAGCACTTGAGTCGTGTCTCAGCTTCTTGTCAGCGACCTAAATAAATTGAGCTCCTTAAGTTTCAAATCATGACTTGTTTTCCAGTCTCTGGAGATACTTGTGACCCTCTTTGGAACTCTCTCCCCCTCTCTGGCCTCATTATTTCCATATCTTTTCTGAGGTGTGGACAACAGTGTACGAATAGCCATAAACAGTCAGACCAAAGGTGTATACAGCCTAGCGTCCTGCCTCTGGCAGCACTTCCCACAGATGCCGCGGGCAGATTAACAGCAGTGAAAACAAGGTGCTGCTTTCTTCCCTGCTACCTGCTCCAGCATCCAAGTGATCTGCAGCTCATTGTGCTATGCACGTATGCTTTTAACCTGACCCGGGATCACTTCCCATTTCCTGGTTGAAGGGATCTAGCGACCGCCTTAGCATATTTCTTGCCATTGCAGTGCCTCAGAAGCTCATGTTGACCCACTGTCTGTGAAATTTTTTAAGTCCTCCATGGAGCTGCAGCTTTCCAAGTCAGCTTACTAGCTCTAGCAAACAAAACTCGCAATTTGATGGAGCCAGTACACACGATCCTTCAAGCTAACCTCTTGCCCTTGACTCTTGAGTCCTTATGTGGAAAGCCACCATGCGTTGCTTCCTGCACAGATTGCATTGAACTAGGATTTGAGTTTTTCCAGAAGAAAACATTCAGAGTGCAGAAGGTGAGATATGAGTATTTGACTTCAGACCGCTTCCAACTTTACCTGCTTTTTGCCTCCTATTAGGAGCGTAAGCCTTGCCTGCTTTCCAAAGAATTTAGTACAATGGACTCCAGCCTGCTGTAACATGCCTGCGGTAATGTTACCTGAAAGCTTTCAATGATTGAGGTGTTCTAAAAAGTGTGAGAGCTACTTAAATTAAATAAAATATATTTAAATGTATAGTCAGCTCCTGGATTTTTTAGGAGTATCTGCAGAGAAAGCTTTAAGCCTTTTATTTTTTAAAAATAAAATCAGCACTGACTGTCTTTCTAAAAGAAAACTGAGATTCCCTCATAATAGCATAATTACTCCAGGTGTTAGGGTATTAAAAATAACAGCAGCATTATAGAGGAAGGAATGAGTTGGCAGTACTGCCACCACCTTTATTTCCTAGGACTTCCAAATGAATGTGAGAGAAATCTTACCACATTCTCATCTCCAGGTGTGCAGGTGTTTCCACACCACCACCCATTCGCTCTGGTACGCGCAACCCCTCCCACTCCTGCTCTCCTTCATGCAATCTCAACCCCTGAATCCTGTCTCTGCTGACAGCATCACAGGCACAGGCAGACACATCCCAGCTTCCTTTATGTACAGCCGTCGCCTGCACACAAGACCTACCCCTTCATCCAGGCATACATCCAGGCATATATATCCCAAAGTCAACGCACACACACCAGACCCCACACTTGCATGTGGCGTCACTTAGTATTTTATCCTGGAGACGGGACAAGACACAGAGGGTCCCTGTTGTCCAGGCACTTAAGGCGCCTGAGTCCTTTTGACGGGGGATTTCAGCAAAATGCCTTTTGCAGCTTGCTGGGGTTTAGGAGCTGTCAGATAGGTGAGTATGGGTCTGAGCTGCTCTTTCACAGATCAAGTGGTTGTGGTGCATTTGGATTATATTTATACCTCCGCTGTTCCAGCCTTTGACAAACCATCCCACACATCTGTTATATTAGAAGGCTTCAGCCTAATATTTTTTGAGCTGGGCATATGGGAACATGATTATATCATCTTTATTTGTTTTTCTCCATTCACTCTCACTCCTCCATTCTTCCCTCTCCCCACCGTTTATCATTTAAGGATCCACTAAAATATTACACAGTGGTTTTTACTCATCACCTTTTTTTTTTTCCCCCTTGTCAACAGATGCTTACCCCAATTCTGAAGTGATCTATGTGTGGACTAATAGCACCACAACATCTGTGGTGGTGGCTGAAGATGGTTCACGACTTAACCAGTACCACCTGATGGGACAAACTGTAGGAACTGAAAACATCAGTACCAGTACAGGTAGGGCGAATATCTCCACCCTATGGTTGCTGATAGCAGGAGCAGGAGGGGAGATCCACTGGCTCCAGTTATTTTGCAAGGAGGCTAGGGAAGCATCTGTGGGACATGGGGTGTTGGGGAGACCCTGTGTGGGTTCCTGGCTTCTTAGCAGCGTCACTAAAACACTGAGGGGGTTATATGCTGGCTCTTCGGTACATCACAAGGCTGTTGCTGAAGGTGCATCCAAACCCCTGCTATTTAACAGGAGCACTGGAGAAGCTGCACGCAGCTTCTTGGCAACCGCCTTTACTGAGGCTGCCAGCGCTATTGCTGGCTTATTTCCCTGTGGGAGGAACCACCCCGGGAGGCAAACACCACCCACGCATTTGATCTGTTTCAATCATTGCTTTAAAATTATTTGCTTGATGAAACCGCACGGGGGGTTGGGAGCGGAGGGCAGATGGGGGCTGTGGCGTGGCTCTGCAGCGTGTCCAGAGGACCACGTGGCCAGAGAGGAGGTGCAAACCCCGAGGATTCCCATCTCCTCCCAGGCTGCAGCCGGAGGCGCCAGATGTGGCAGCATTAGGGAGGCAAAGAAGCTTTAATCCTAGGCCAGGCATCCACGTGAGCCATGCCCCCCTGCTCCTTAAGGCTCCCATGCAAGGGCAGCCCTGGGCCCGCATTGGTGGGGGGACTCCTGGGGGTGTCGAGGCCGGGACAGGCATCACGTGGGCTCGGCAGGACGGGGGCTTAACCAGGTTACACAATGCACTCGTCTGGAGAGCATTAGCGGCATCCAGCGTGGGGGCTCCTCAGCCTGGAAGCAAAATAGCCTGCCGTGAAGGGAAGGGGGATTTCCACCGCTGCTGGTTGCACGGGCCTTG